GGTATGATCACTTGAGTGACGGGTGGATTGCCACTGCTGTCACCATCATCGAGCTAGGCGGGCGTGGTTTCAGCAACCAGCTCCCGCCTCTTTGCCCATTTTTTTCGATTATCCGGGAGTGACGGGCTGCCAAGATGGCGACGGCCGGCTCCGCCCACTTTGAGCTTCAAAAACCTCTTCAGGTGCCTACAAGTGACGTCACGGACACTACGTCCATGTTTTTTTGTAGTCCATCCCTGCGTCTCAATGTTCATACTATCCATCCTAAATAGTATGTGAGATTAGAATGAGTGTGTCCCAAAGCATAGTATGTTGAAAAGAGAATGCCAAAAGTCCCCGGTTGGTCTACTATTTCAGGTCGATTTTTGAAGTGTGGATCCATGCACACTCTAATGGCTAATATTGCCCACAATCCATTGCGCTTTGGCGAAGGATTCGGTCCAGAACTACAAACAAGAATAAAACGCGCTAGAAAAGCTACAAACGTGGCGGATGCGCGCGCTCGACGGTTAGGTAGAGAGGTTTACAAAAAGGGGTTTGAGTTACTAATAATCAACATTTAACCTGGTAAAATAATATTTATTTATTCCGTGTTATATTTAATCTGCAACAGCAATGTGAACTTTTATAAACATCCAAGAGGATCGTGCAGAACCTATGCAAGCACGGCTTTTAATGGTAGGCCTAAGATTTTTTGTCTTATAAACTGTCTCATACTTTTAGATGCGCTGTTATTTGTATAGGCGGGATTTATGTAAAATTCTGGGTTCTTGACATAACGGACCCGGAAAGTAACTCGTTGTAGTCCCTTACCAGTCGTTTTTGTAGGCATTAAACTGCCAGAATTTTAAAAGACGATATCTCCGTTTGCATTGAACTTTCAGCTTCGTAACTTTGCAGATATTGTTTATGATCAAACAGCAACATTACACACTAACTAACATTTAAAAAGTGAAATCGCAATCAACCACCCCTTTAAGGGCATAGTATAAGTAGGCACATTGATACGCAGCACATGGCTACAACCTGAACAGAATTTGTTACCGCCATGATGACGAGAAAATGTTACTAGGTTAAACTGATGTGCAAAAATCTGACACACACGCACACACACAAACACAAACACACTTTCCTTGCTTGCTGGCCTCTCGTAAGGTGCATCGATACACATCGCAGATGTTCTCCGGAACTCTTCCACTCCCGGGTTCAATCTCCTGGCAAAACCGCTAAGGATGAGCGGATCGATCCAGAAGTAGGCCTATAAAAATATAGATTCTAAAGTGCATTTTAACCATTAATTTAATTTATTTAGCAAAAAATTTGGTGCATAAAATAAGCTTCTAAGTGAAAATAGACTAGGCAATATTAGCGAATAATTGTATAGGATAGTTTCTCCTGCTCATCGGAACATAAGCAAATGCTGAAAGACAGAACCAATCTGTCTGTGATTGTTCAAAAAGGGCTGCGTTTCCCAAAAACATGAGAAGCATAAATAGATCTTAAGAAACTATTGCCACCACTGGCCTCTGCGATCAGTTTTTATTCTTACGATGCATTTGGGTAACAAAGCCCAGATCAGTGCGTATCAGATGACAGAATCGAGAGTTATTTCACAATAAACAAATTGCACAACTGCTCAAAATGTTGACGTCAGTAGTATTTTTAAAAGAAATTAATACGTTTATCCGGTAAGGATGCACTACATTTTAGCACATTTTATTTCTGACAGCATAAACAAAAAGGCCTATGAAATGTTAAAAAAAAACATGGCTTTTAAATATAATGTTAAGTGAGGCCTATTATTAACATTACTGATTTTATTCTTTTAATAATTGATAAGATCAGTTTAGTTTAGAGGTATCGGTATCGAAGATACTGGGCTTGAAAATATCGGTATCGGATCGAAAATTAAATAAGAGGAATCGCCCAACCTTACGTGGCACTGCTGGTTCCATGTCTAGTCTACCTCGGATGCGAGCGGCGCGACAAAAGACAGTAGGCCTTAGAACTGATTATAATAAGTGTTAATAGGCCTATCTACAATGGATGTCAATGGATGCTATTTCCGACACAAAACGGATTTGCACTTTAGTTACAACTGATG